TTTTTATGTGAGTGGATTTAAAAGTATTAGTAACTTCATATCCCTGCTCAGATTCTTGTTTTAAATTTTTGCTTGTAGAAGTTGGTTGTGATTTCTGACTGAAGGATACAGGCAAACATGGACCCAGCAGGCCTGTTCAGTCCGAGGAGGAAGACCAACCCACGAGCCTTCATCTTGGCACTTTGCTGGTGGAGCCAGCCATGATGAAATGTGGTAGAAAAGAATCTGACACGAACGCCAATCCACACCCTCTTGGTCATCCGTCAGGTCTTCTCCCACTCACATGGGCTGCATCTCAGTCACCAGCTTCAGTGCTCACCTTTCTGTTAAAAATGTTGGCAAAGTTGTCCTAGACTCTGTTGTGTGGAAATAATTTTTGGCAGCTGAGGATCTGCCCAAGTCTTTGGCATCTTTTCATACCCTGCCAAGGTCTAAAAGTTGTGCTGGTATACCAACCATTCCTGATTTGTCTACCTTTCCCAACTCCCAGGTGAGCCTGAAGAAGCATCAACAGGATAAATGCTGAAGAAGAGGATTCTTGTGTAAGCCCTCCAGTATGACACAAGTCTATTGAACGTTGACGTTTGATCTTAATGCCTAGTCAGACCTAGCAAAAGCGTACTTTTCTCTGGGAGCAGTGGTTGCAGTTGCATCTGAACGTGTTGCCTTTTTTAAGCTAATTGTACAAGAAGCATCAGGAAAACAAAAGTGATTTCAGTAATTTAAATCTGAGTAGTGTACCACATTCAAATGAAATGTTTCTATTTTAATCACCAGATTTAGTCATGATACAATGTGGATTTAACTCCTGCAGAACCTTGACTGGTCCAACTTCCTCCTACGAGATGGCTGCTCATACCATGACAGATCCACCTCCATGTTTAACACCTGACAAAAACACTGTGGGTTGGATACATGTTTCTGGTTTTTTTTCTAAACTGACGCTGACCCAGATAGAAGACAAAGACGATTCATCACTAAAAAAGACGTTTCCCTTTATCGGGTTTTGGCGTTTGGCAGTTTTTATGGTTTTGGACTGAAATCTATCACACCCTACTCTGTTGTGATATATTGAATAAATGACTGAGACAAAATAATCATGTAAACCTGTTTATTTTAACTTAAATGTATTAATAACTCACATTTGTCCTGTACCAGAATGTTTCACCTATTTTGTAATTTGTGTTTTGTAATTTGAATTGCTTTTATTTTTGATTTATTCAATATATTTACCTTCAACTGAACCATGTTCAGCGCTTTGGGCTTCCTGACAGGGTTGCGGAAGGCGCTTTATAAATAAAGCTTTGATTGATTGATTGATTGATTGATTGATTGATTGATTGATTGATTGATACAGGAATATCCACAAATGCCATTAATAATAATAATAATACATTTTATTTAAAAGCGCCTTTCAGGACACCCAAGGTCACTTTACACAAAACACGTAATAAAATACAATAAAACAATAATAAAACCCAAATAAGAAAAAACAAAGAGAGAAACAGTTCAATAAAATCAGAGGTTGTAGGCAGATTTAAACATGTGTGTTTTGAGTTTGGTGTTGAAAAGGGTAAAACTGTCGATGTTCCTGATGTCTGGGGGAAGTGAGTTCCAGAGTCGAGGAGCAGAGCGGCTGAAAGCTCTGCTCCCCATGGTAGCGAGACGGGCAGAAGGAACCGCAAGATGGATGGAAGAAGAATAGCCATTGCATAAATGGCTATTAAATATTTTTAACCGGAATGGTTTTAATATATTTTGCAACTGGTGTCATCATGACAAGTTGTTAGCTACATCTGTCCAGTAGAACTTTTCTTTGTTTCTCCAAACTGAGGCTATTCTAACAGGTAAAATTAATTTGTCATGACATTTCAACAGAACCAGGGCTGCACTGTGGCACGGTGACTAGCACTGTTGCCTTGCAGCAAGAAGGTCCTGGGTTAAAATCCCAAACTGTGGTCTTTCTGCACGGAGTCTGCATGTTCTCCCTGTGCATGCGTGGGTTCTCTCCGGGTTCCTCCAGCTGTGTGTGTGTGTGTGTGTGTGTGTGTGTGTGTGTGTGTGTGTGTGTGTGTGTGTGTGTGTGTGTGTGTGTGTGTGTGTGTGTGTGTGTGTGTGTGTGTGTGTGTGTGTGTGTGTGTGTGTGTGTGCTTTTTTGTTTGTCCTGTGTGTCTCTGTGTTGCCCTATGATGGACTGGCAACCTGTCCAGGGTGCACTCCACTTGCTTGCCCAGAGACTGCTGGAGATAGGCACCAGCTCCCCACCACCCTGTGAGAACACGCGGGTTTAGACATGGATGGATGGATGGATGGATGGATGGATTTCAACAGAACCCCTCTTCAAAAGGTTTAAAATGATGCTTCAGCATCTTCATGCAAACTTTTTTTAATATAAAATTGTTGAAACATTTTAGGAACAATGGACACAAAAACCCATTTTGAATCTTGAGCAGGAACAAGTCCAACAGCCACTGCAAAACTGATTTTCAGGGAAGTTATTTTTGAAAGTCTTGATTCTAGACTTTTTGTCTTGTTTTTAGTCCATCTGTCCATTTTCAGCTGCTTATCTGGAGTCAGATTACGGCAGCAGCTTAAGCAGGGAGGCCCAGACTTCCCTCTCCCCAGCTACATGGGCCAGCTCCTCCGGGGGAATCCTAACATGTTCCCTGGCCAGCCGTGAGACATTTTCCCTCCAAGCATGTCCTGGGTCTTCCTTTAGGTCTTCTTCTTGCTCGAAAAACCTCACCAGGAAGGTTTCCAGAAGGCATCCTAGATGCCCAAGCCTGGCTCCTCTCCACGTGGAGGAGCAGCAGGTCTACTCCGAGCCCCTCCCGGATGACGAGCTTCTCACACTATCTCTAAGGGAAAGCCCAGACACTCTGCGGAGAAAACTCATTTCGGCTGCTTGTATCCGCGATCTTGTTCTTTCGGTCACTACCCAAAGCTCATGACCAGGTGAGGGCAGAAATGTAGATCAATGGGTAAATTGAGAGCTTTGCCTTCCAGCTCAGCTCTCACTTCACCACGACAGACCTCATTCCTGACCCGGAGAAGGCCTTCTACCCTTTTCTGACTCAAGAGCAAGGTCTCAGATTTAGAGGAGCTGATTATCATCCCAGCTGCTTCACAATTGGCTGCAAACCGCTCCAGTGAGAGCCAGAGATCTGATGAAGCCAACAGGACCACATCATCTGCAAAATGCAGTGACTCAGTCCTTAGGCCACCAAAAGGTATCGGCCCAACGCCTCGGCTGTGCCTAGAAGTCCTGTCCATAAAAGTTATGAACAAAATTGGTGACAAAGGGCAGCCTTGGAGGAGTCCAACTCTCACCGGAAGCGAGCCCGACAACAAAAGATTTGGAACTAGGAAACAGCAACAGGTGTTTAAACGATAAATGACCCACACTTGTATAACACCTCTCAGAGTAAGGACTCCAAAGCGCTTTACACTACAGTGTATCATTCATCCATTCACACACTGATGGTGATGAGCTACGATGTGGCCACTGCTGCCCTGGGGTTCACTGACAGAGGCGAGGCTGCCGAGAACAGGCGCCACCGGTTCCTCCGACCACCACCAGCAGGCAAGGTGGGTTAAGTGTCTTGTCCAAGGACACAACAGCAGAATTCTCTGTCCGGAGCCGGGATCAAACCTGCAACCTTCTGATTACTGGACAACCCGCTTAACCTGTTGAGCTGCTGCCTGAAGGGCAATCTCACTTCATCCGGCATCACGGGTTTCTGGTTCCGGCAGAAACGTCTTACTCTCTTGAAAATTAGTTTTTGTAGCGTATCTGTGATGGTGGGTCAACACCAGCAGCGAGGTTCATCTAACTCCTAAATACAGCCATAAGATCATGTGGCTTCTCTCTAATGATTGTTTTTCAACAAAAGAACGCTAAACCGTGTGGAAGACAATGTACTGTTCTGCCTGGCCTGTCGTTACAGAATGTGTAAAAAACTTCAGACAGAGTTGTTTTATTTCTGCAAACATTGAAGATATACAGTATTAGCAGAAGAACAGCATCTGAAATGAATTGTTCTTTATGTTTTTGTTCACCTTTAAAAGAAGGACTAATTGGAGGATTTATCTTCTCATTTTCCAAAGTCTTTTGTAAAATTTATCAAATTCTAATCGACACAATTAAAACAATTTTGATAAAGATATTGATTTTCAAGGGAATTGAGTCTGAAAGTGATAAAATAAAAAATGCGTCCTTCTTTTTATATTCAAACGTGGAAATCTTACGGGAGCAAAAGAAAATTCCTAAAATAAAATTCTCACAATTACAAACTAAAGATTTAGCATCTCCATAATGACTCAAGCACTTAACAAATCCCAAGAGTCCTTCCTTGATTTTCTTTTTTGTTCAGCTAATCGTTTCAGCAGCAAGTTTTTGAGCTCTAAAAGTCTTGTTTCCTCAGGAAAATGAGTTTCTGTGGGGTTTAAGCATCTCGTTTGATGTTCGTCTTTGCACCAGCAGGGAGACCGTTCCAGAGTTTGCATCTAAAGAAGGCAGCTCTGCTACAGGTCTTTGTCAGCGCTTTGAACAGTGAAAACAGCAGGCTCTATCTTAGGGCTCCACCTGGGACACACTTTGGCACTAAATCAAAGTCAGCAGCTTGTCTGTCACAGGAAGATTTAAGAAAACTTTTAAAATAGCGAAAAATAACAGTAGATTCTTGCAGCATAGTGTGATTTTTTGCTCCAAAATGATGTTAAATCTGGATTTAATAAATAAAAGAAGTATTTGTGCATAAAGACAAAAGATCATCACTGTGGAGATGGTGGACGAGAAACAACATATTGTTTCTTTACATAACTGTCAGTTTCCTACAAGGAAATCCAATTATGGTGTCTGCTTTATGGTCCGATTCCTCCAGCAGACTGTTTTAGTCACAATAGGCTAAGGAAAGTGATTGTCACGTGAACACCAAGTGCAAGGATAGTGACGTTTTATTTTTTTTTCTTCTTAACAAAAGAAAGAGCAGGGATGTTTATGTAGTGTGCAACAGCTTGTGGGTGATGAGACAGCAGCTAATATCTGCCCCCACCTCTTCCCTTTTGCGCGCGGCGCGCCTGCACGCGCCGGGATCATTTTAATGGTAAATATCACGGGAAGGTCTCACCCTTCTCATTGGCTCAGAAGTCAGAGACCCCGTCATATAAAGCAGGAGCGTCTGATCCAGCAAAGCCCCGTCTTTCCGCTGAGGATCGCGCTTCGAGCAGGAAATCACCTTTTACGCACGGAGAGTTTGGAGAGGCTGCGCCGAGCGCCTGTGATTTCACTCTGGAAGGGAAAGAGTTGAACAGCCAACAGGTGCGTTTATCTGACTGCAGGCGCTGAAAATGTACGCTTTTATTTAAGAGGAAAAGTTCCTCAGACTAATTTATGATATTTTAATAATATTTATTTATAATGCTCTGATGTGTTATTGCTCACTTTTAATTAAAGGTTGTGTTTAAATACATCATTTTTAACATTTAACCTCATTAAACATATTTGCCTCTTCTCCGTGCATCCCTCTCCTGTTGATAGATAAACTGTGAGCTGAGGCGTCTGAGTGGGCATGTGGTTACTGGAGAAGCTCCGCAGTGGGACACATTCCCGTCCCCCGCAGACAACTGAGGCCATTCCAGTCTCTGTTTATGCCAATGTACTAACTCCAGAAAGAATCCCAGATTTCTTCATCCCACCCAAACTTATCTGCTGCCCGCCGGAGGAGTCCTCCAGTCCAGAACCTAAGCGCTGCTCTGCACTGAGACCCTCCTCCTCTGACAATGCCATCTGCAGCCAGAGCCCCAGGGCTCGGAGCAGCAAGAACATCTGCAGCCCTCGCCTCTTTTCCCGCAACCTCCAGAAGTCTGCCAATCGTCACATCATCCAGATAGAGAGTGCTGATGAGCCAGGGGCCCAGGCCGGGGACAGGAGGGGTATGGATGTTAACACCAATGCTGACCCCCAATCACAGACGGCAATGTCACTAACGTACGTCCCCAAAGCTCAGACCTCGTATGGCTTCTCCACCTTGATGGAGTCTCCTCACACCAGGCGTAAGGAAAGCCTGTTCCACAGTGATCCCAGCAGCCCTCTCACCTCCCCGAACTCCCAGAGGCGCTCCCACGGGGGGACCCTGCTGGCCCCAGCTGACCCCAACCCCTACAGATACTTCAGCGGTGGGGAGAGTGACACCTGCTCTTCAGCTGAGTCCTCCCCCTTTAACTCCCCTCTCCTGTCCCGATCGGCCTCCTTCCTTCGCTCCATCACCCAGGAGACCCAAGCCAAGGTGATGACTCTCACGTGTTTTGAGTAAGTGTGACGATTCTTGTGTGTCTAACTGGCTTTTTTTCTTCGCACCCATCTAAGGTCTCTCGAGCCAAGCGCTCCCTGGCTCGCCACAGCTCCCTTTCCACTGACGAATGCAGCTCAGCAGACAACAGCCCCAACATGCAGCGGCGCCGCTTGCGCTGCCCTCCCTCCACTGCCTTCCGTGGATGCAAAACCAGCGCCTTAAGGGGCGCAGCCTCAGACCTCCTGCAGCGAGAGCACACCATCAACCTCCACAAGGGGGGAACGCTGAGGCTGAGCACCCACTACGACTCCGAGGCAGCGCGGCTGAGGGTGCGCGTGCTCACAGCCGAGGCCCTGTACAACAGGCAGACAGAGCTGAAAAGCATCAACTGCTGCGTGGCGCTTTATCTGAACCCCGGCAAGATGCAGAAACAAAGGAGCACCATCATCAAGAACAGCAGGAACCCGGTTTTCAATGAGGACTTCTTTTTCGACGCGCTGCCCCAGGCGCAAGTGAAGAGCCTGGCTATGAAGATAAAGGTTGTGAACAAAGGAACCAGCCTGAAGAGGGATGTCCTTCTAGGAGAGAGGGAGGTGCTGCTCAGTGAGCTGCTGGCAGGCCTCTAGGGAGCGCCTGTCAAGGGTCCTGTAAAAAAAAGCAAGCCCCCCCCCCCCCCCAACCACCCACTGCTGACCTTTCTATTCACACATCTGACAAGAGGACACCAGGAAGCATGCAGATGAACAGGGAGGTGTTACGTATGTCCATTAAGTTAGACTTGATCAAGATGTCGTTATCAGTTTGTTAATAAAACAGGAGCACTGTGTTTGACCAACACCTGTTTAACTATGATCTTGTTTATTTTTGTATTGTGTCTGAGGTTTTTTGCATGTAAATGTGAAAAATGACAAATGAAAGTTTGGGACATTGTGACTTCATGTGATGTTTAAATAAATAGCACATGCACAAAATCGTCCTCATGTGCATTTCCTGTGATTGTTTATCTTGTCTTCCAATGACTCCCGGGGACAAAAATAAAAATAATAATAATAAAATCCATGGCCTTTTTGCTCCCTCCAAGGTCTTCATGCAGGTTCTCAGAGATAGACAAAGACTGGGTGTCATTTGTGAGTGTCTGCATTCAATATTGTCTCTGTGAGCTTTCAAACTCCCTGTTTAATTTTAAAAGCCACACATCCAATTCAGGCAGTCCTCCTGTGAGTTTCTAACAGTTATTAAGAATGTCAGGAGGAAGAATCACGGCTCTTAATCCCTCAAAACATCTGCTTAGGAGAGTTTTATAGCCTGATTGTATGCATTCAGTAGCTGGTTGATGAAAATGTTTTTGTTCTCAACATAAAAAGAAGGCAAAGACAAAGGGCTGCTGAGTAATAAGGAACATCCAGTTGATCTTGTGCCTCCTCTGCTGGAGAAAAACGGAATTACAGGTCTGGAACGTAGAGGAAAATTCAAGATTTATTTTTTATTGGGGGGTTTGTGCAGCTGTACTCACTTCTTATGAACTGAAGACAAACTTAATTATAAAGATTAAAAAATGAAATAAAAAAATATAAAAAGACAAGATGTTGAGCCAACTGTATTAACATATGAACTAGCAACAAGCACCCACTGGTCACGCAGGTGGGACTAGAGACGAGTCATATTCAGCAAAGGAATGAAAATAGGGTAGGTAGGTAGGTAGGTAGGTAGGTGTCCATGATAGCTTGAATCTGAATGTCTTTTTTCATAATTAAAAAACCTGCATGGCACATAAACTAATGTTCTTTGTGTTCAAAGTCAGTGAAAAATGAGTATAATTAAAAGAAAAATGCTTTTGATTTCTGATCATTTAGGTTGTGATTAGTTTATGTTTATTTATTTTTAAATCTGAAGTTAATTCAATGTTGCAGCTCAGATAATCTAGCAGAACATAAAGTTTGGTTTTCCAGTTTATTTCTCACAGCATTTCATTAACAAAGCATGAATGATAAATAATACAACAGCTTGATTATTCAGACGTCATCTCAGGAGGAGGATGGAATGTTAAAATCTATTTTGCATTTTAATTAACCTCTGATCATTAGCCTCCTGTTACTGTAAGTGTCAGTGGGACTGCAGATGTTCAGGTTAGCTCCATTTTATTTGAATCTGATTTGCATTGCAGTAATTATGGAAAACTCACCAGGAGAGGATCTCTCATGCACTCCCTGTGAGCCAGAAAGTTACCCACATTCATGTCAACAGACTACAGTGATGAAAAGTGGTGCAGATGTACTTTAAAAAGGGGTTCCAAGCATATTTCACAAATGTTTGATTCATTTCACTCCGATTTTAGGGTGTCTACACAATTGAGCCCTCTGTAGGCTGATAACTTTTATTTCCATTAAAAGACTTGGCATCCTTTTGTTCCTAAGACATTGCCCTTGTCGCGGTGCGGTGTTGGTAGGACACAAAATGCAGTACCCAGGATGACACGAGGCAGACAAGAATAAGAAAAATCCTTTATTTTTAAGGAGAACAAAATAAGTCCAAAAGCTGGAAGCCAAAATCCAAAGTCCAGATAACGATCTGGAGATCCAAAAATACTTGAGACACGAGAAGACTAAGAACACAAGTAATCCAAGACAAGACTGACAGAATTACAAACAATGGACCGACAAGACAATGAGAAACAGAAAGGGCTTTATAGACTGGGGCATAATGGCAGGCAGATGAGCTGCAGGTGTGTGGGGAGAGAACCAGGTGAAGGCAATAACTAATCAGGGAGGAGGAGCAGGAAGGAGCAGGGGAGGACACCGGACCTGACTGGGGAAGGACACACACGCACACACACATGTACACACGCGTACACACACACACACACACACACACACACACACACATATATATATATATTTGAGTTTAGTCAAGAGAACACTTATAACATTTGTTGAAAACACTTCAACCATAAATGCTTCAACAGACTGGTTTGACTCTTGATGTTTTGGGTTTTCAAGAAACTGACTGAATTAAACTTATATGTCTTTTTATATTTTGTATTGCGTCACGGGAGGACTTTGGACAGATAGTGGCATTACATGAATGAACTGAGTGTGTTTTTACTGCATAAAGACTTCATTTTATTGTTTTTCTTCATTTGCATTAGATTAAAAAAATCTAAACAAAATTTAAAAATTGGTATTTTGATCTAATTATATTTAGTTATTTCCTTTTATTAAAGGGATGAATTATATTTTATTAATATAATATAACATAATATAATATAATATAAATATCATAATATAAATAACACAATATATTATAGGATTGTAACTGTATATTTATAAAAATATTGTATTCTACGCATTATGATTTTTATTATTATTATTATTAGTAGTAGTAGTAGTAGTAGTAGAAGCAGCAGTAGTGGTAGTAGTAGTAGCAGCAGTAGTAGTGGTAGCAGTAGTAGTAGTAGTAGTGGTAGCAGCAGTAGTAGTGGTAGCAGCAGTAGTAGTAGTAGTAGTAGTAGTAGTAGTAGTAGTAGTAGTGTCGGCGTCAGCTTACATATGCCTTTGATTTGTCATCAAAGCTATGATGTCATAAAGCTTAGATAGTTCCGCAGACAGCACACAACTCATTTCAGCTTGTGACAAGCTAGTGTCAAGACGTCATCAGACTTCTGAAGAGGACTTTTATTCAAAGGATCTTTAAAAAAACACAATCATTTCTACGAAACTAGGACCTTTTTTGGAGTTTAGTGAAAATCGACGAGAGATGGAATATTTAATCGAAAATCTTAAAAAACAGGGGGAAAAAGTTATTCTTGAAACAAGAAAAGAGACGGAAATTTTAAGAGAGAAATATCGAATGAACAAGAAATGTAATTTAGGAATGGAACAGATAAATATTAACTGTTTCAATACAGATTTCACCTTTTTGCCAAAGGAGGAAGTCATTGCTCCTGCCACAAACCAGCAACCGATGGGAGATTTCTGCCACAAACTCACTAAAGAAAGAGAAGTTTATCTAAGGTTAAAAGCAAAAAAACTGGTTAAACGTTTGGAAGCAGAGAGGAAAACTGTCTTTACTCAAACGTCACGAGAAACGGACGATTCTGGCCCCAAAGAGACAAAGTTACAGAAAAAGGTTGACGATATGCGCGTTGAGCCTGAACAACATTTCAAAATGAACTCAGAAGATGAAAAACCTTTTGAAATTCAAGAAGGCGTCAGTATTGTTAGCAGAACAGGTACGTACCACGTGGATAAAATCCTAAAGCGGCGTCATTTTGGGGAACTTGTTCAATGCACGCATCGTGAAACAGGAGAAATCGTTGCTCTCAAATGTATTTGGAAAAAGTTTGGGGATTCATACAAACAAGAAGAAGAAGTTTTACAACATGTTTCGAGTCTTAACTGTGACGAGAACAACTTGGTGAAGTTTAGAGAGGCATTTCACTATCAGGACAGGATTTTCATTGCTTTCGAGAAACTGGACATGACCTTAATGGACTTTATGAGGGAAAGAAACTGGAAACCTTTGAGCATATATGAAATCAGGATTATTGCTGATCAAATGCTTTTAGCTCTGAATTCCCTAAAACAAGCTGGCCTTACTCACACTAACGTGACGCCTGAGAATATTATGTTAGTTGACCACAAATCACAGCCGCTCAGGGTTAAACTAATTGGCTTCGGTAAAGCGTGTCTCACTTCTACATTATCAGAACGGGACATCGCTGTAAATTGTGGTTACAGCGCTCCAGAAATAGTTTTGGATGGGCGCCTGGATAACAGTGTGGACACATGGGGTCTAGGCTGTACACTCGCGTTTCTGTCCCAGGGTTTCCACTTGTACCCCACATGTGATGAATACGAGTATCTGAGAGTCATCGTTCAGCTGTTTGGGAATCCTGATGAGAGTTTACTGAAGGAGGGACGGCGGGCCAAACACTTTTTCACATCTGGATCGACATGGACTTTTAAATCAGTTTATGAATATGTGCAAACGACTGGAAAGCAATTTAATATGACAGACAAAGACTATGACGATTTAGTGTCTCTGGATTTCTTGATGCATTCAGTTCTACCAGTGAAAAATCCTATTGAGCTGGAAGAAAAACGAGCGTTTGTAGGCCTTTTAAAGCAAATGATATGTGTGAATCCAGCTGACAGAATCCTTCCAGCAGAAGCTCTGCATCACACATTTTTCAGGAGCAAACTAACTGTGACTGATAATAAAATAAAGGCAGGGGGAGGCGATAGGACACCAGACAACGTTCCACCTCAGGATTTAAAAGACGTCAAATCAGAAATTAAAGAATCATCTGAGAAAGAGATAGAAACAAGCCAGACAATAAAGGCGGGTGATGTTATCAGAGGCCTTACAAATGTTTACCATGTGGATAAGGTGCTTGGATCTGGGGCCTTTGGGACGGTTGTCCAGTGCAGAATTGAAGGAACAGGTGAATTAGTAGCGATTAAATTAATGACAAAAGAGAAAGACGCGAAGCATGAAGTGAAAATCTTAAAATATCTCAACCAACACGACTCTAGTCAGAAGTTCGTCACAAAGGTAATCGAACGTTTTACATGTAGCAAATACTTTTGCATTGTGTTTGAGCTGCTGGACCGAACTCTAATTGACTTATTGAAAGACAGACATTATATTCATCTGACGGTGTCTGAAATCAGACCGATCGCCAAGCAGTTGTTGGAAACACTTGGCTTTCTCAAGCTAATCGGTGTCACTCACACAGACATCAAACCAGACAACATCATGCTGGTAAATCATGAGTCACAGCCGTTTAGAGTCAAGCTTATCGACTTTGGACTTGCTTATAGGACACACAGATTATCAAAGTATGATCTGATGCAGAATGTGGCGTACCGAGCTCCTGAGATCCATCTGGGCACGCCACGGGATGAATCCCTCGACCTATGGAGTCTCGGATATTCTCTGGCTGTTTTGGTTCTATGTCACACCCTGTGCCCAAGTGACGAGTATGAAGCAGTGAGGATAATTGTAAAGCTTCTTGGTCTGCCCAGCAATCATTCCCTCATTGATGGCTGGAGAGCCAATAAATTTTTCACACTGGACAAGAGTGGACCTGAACACTTATTGAGACTTAAAACACCTAAAGAATATGAGCAGGCCACAGGAAAGAAGATTAAAAAGAGCCATTCAATATATAATAAATTACGCTCCCTAGATGATTTAAGAAAGTTGATACCAGCAAACGCCGGTCATACTGAAGTCAAAGACTTCAACGCATTCTTAGACCTTCTGAAGCAAATGCTATGTGTGAATCCGGCAGATAGGATCCTTCCAGTTGCAGCGCTGGAGCACAGGTTTATCACCATGGAGCACCTTGCTGACGCCAGGAACAGCCTATATGTGGAAAAGGCTCATGAAATAATGATGGGGGTTGAAGGCAGGAACACAAACAGTTCAGCTCCAATTGATGAACTAAAAGATGTGATTTTGGATATAGACTTGCCAGCATCAGACTGTAGCGTCTACTGCAGTCTGCCTTGTGTCAAACCAAAGCAGACACTTTTTACCAGATTTTGTAATTTCATTTCCAGAATCTGGAATCGGTGCATTAATAATTCTCCCCCGTCCAAATCAAGAAGAAGAAGAAGAAGAAAATATCTTTTCTGGAGCGCCTCAAGATAAAAATCACGAGGCGCTTCACAAAAACAAAAGATTTAAAAATATTTTTAAAAAAGCATTTAGAAAATGTTTAAAAATATATTTAAAATGAGCAAAATAGGCAATTGTGATTAAAAAAATTGTTAAGGAAGAGAGAGTGAACAGGAAAGAGGGAAATCAGTGGAACCTGGGGAAGGTGGAATAGGTGGGGAGAGCAGAATAAAGAGAGAGTGGTGAAGAAGGTCATACAAGAGCCAGCTTGAACAAGTGAGTCTTCAGCTGCTACAGAGAGCTCTTAAAGAGCTGCCAAATGGTAAATGTCCCCCCCCCCCTCCGTAAACGCCTAACTTTCTTTAGCATAGAAAGTCATAATCCAGTTTATCTATTTATGTTATTAGCAGTCTTCTTAGTAAAGTGCCTTCAGATGGCTTTAGTTGTGAACTAGCGTTTAAACACATTTAACTAAATTGTAAAATGCTTTTGTTTATTATTACATGTATTCAACATTCTGTATATTAGATAAACTAACAGATAAAACATTTTCTCATATAACCTTAGGTTATAATACAGTCTAGATGTATTGTTTTCTGATTTAAGACAGAATTACAAATAGTGCACCAGTTTAGTTGTATAGCACACTTACACACAGCATTAGAGCTGACCAAAGTGCTTCCCATAAAATACATTGCAACATAATTAAATAAAAGATTATGAAACAAGCATTGGGATTAACAATTAATACGATTACAGACATGGTCTGAAATTTACAGGCCAAATGATAAAAGCGCGTGGAGTGCAAAAAGAGATCTGAGGACCTCAGGGCTCGCCCAGGGACATAAGGAGCAAACAGCTCAGAGAGATACGGTGGTTCTGTACTTTCAGAACTCTCTCTTGAGTAAGGATCTATTTCCCCGCTGCACGTCGCAGCGCACCCTTAGTTATCGTTGACTTGTACAGTAATAAGTATCATTATTTTCTTACCTACACTGAAAAAACAAACTTGTAGGATTTACTTAATTCAATTATGGAAAGTGGTTGCACACAATTGTTTTTGCTTTAGTTGCAAGTAAAACGTTTAAGTAGAATTAACAGAAGTTTTTCATTTTAGACAAACATGTATATTCTGTGTTAATCCAAATTGATAGAAACATGTTGTCATTAAGTAATTTGAGCTCTTCAAACATTTTAATTCAACATGATTTTTTCACTTTGTTACAACACTATTCCGTAACTTACTCTAATAATAATGGGTCACTTTATTACTACATGTCTTCTTCATATTCAATTTTTATAATATATTATAAAGTCAAATACTACATTTTTTCTACATCAACTCAAGTCACATCATGGAAATGAAAATAAAATTTAAAAAAAAGTAATCATCGAAGACAACAAAAACATTCTGCTTTGTCAAGATTAAACAATACAAAGAAACTACTTGTAATTTCAAATGCAGAAATGTTTTGTTCCATTACCATTAAAATACATATTTACTGAAATGGTAAATATGTTTCAATACTATCTTAATGACACTACCAATTTTCTCTCAATCAAAAAGAAATTGTTGAATGTCAAAACCTTTATTTAAGTTCTATAGTATAAACAGTTATACAGCAAATATAAAATATTCCAACATATTGTACAAACATCTTGGTCCAAAAACAGTAGCATCATAACTGCATTAAACTTAATTTTTTCCTTTACCACTGCCTCGATAAGACACTTCGTAGTGAACAGTTCTTTATCTCTTCACTTAGGGAAAAACAAAGAACAAAATACAAACTAAAATTACTGAATGATGCATATTCAAAAAATGTTTACATGTAACAGAAAAAACTGTTCCCAATCCACTTAACAGTGAAACAAACTTAACAGCAGTGCAATCTCAATGTAAACATCTAAAAGGTGAGAGCAAAACTGAAATTTTAATGTCTTCCCATGGAGCTAACCACCTCATTTGCACAACGATGAGCTTTTTCTTACATGCTTATTTTTGTATTGAGGTTTTGGGCTTTTCTGGATAGTTGAGTTGCATGTAACTCCATTACCGCCATCTGAAGCACCTCAAAAGTGTAGCGGAGCTGTGATGGGTAAGTCATGTTCAAACTCTAAAAAAGTCCAAAGAGCATGGCTGTTGCAGGTGCCACATTGTCCAGATCCTGGAGAATGACCATACCCTCAATGATGATTCCAACATCTGAAATGTCATTGTCTGGTGCATCTCACTTGATGTAGATGCCCACTGTGGTTTTCTCAATAGCAATCATTGCAGTGGCCTCAGTCAGGTCCTGGTGAAAAAGAGAACATTTTAAGTTTAACCCACGTTGCCTGCTGGTGGTGGTCAGAGGGACCGGAAGCACCTGTGCTCGGCAGCCTCGCCTCTGTGAGTGCGCCCCAGGGCAGCTGTGGCTACATCGTAGCTCATCACCACCAGTGTGTGAATGTGTGTGTGAATGGGTGAATGATACACTGTAGTGTAAAGCGCTTTGGAGTCCTTACTCTGAAAAGCGATCTACAAGTGCGGGCCATTTATCATTTATGGGCAGAATAGCAGTTAAAGAGTGCCCTGCAATTCTGCTTTAACCAACAACATTTTGGGGGGGTGGGGGGGGTTACAAGGACACGGCGCACCACTGCAACATACATATAGCAGAGGCCTTGGAGTCTACAAAATTTCATTTTGTTTTTCTTGGAAAGACATTTGGCCCACAACAAACCCGGTCATGTATGTTTTTGCTTCTGTTAGTTGAAAAATATGAGAGAAGCCCCTTGGTCATAAGTCAGGATAGCAGTCCCAACATTAACCACATAACATAGGAACAGCAAAAAAAAAAAAAAAAAAAAAATAGAGATCAGCAGACGGCTTGCTGAACACGCTGCCGCCATCTTGCCAAATGCAATGACATGAGCTCTAGAATCGAACAACAGGCGTCTCTCAGCTCAGCAGGCCAGCTGAGCTGGTTTCTGGGTTGGAACCAGATCAGAACCGCCGCAGACCTCCAGGAGAGGATCATGTAAAGCTTTTAAAAATACCAGCTTGACTGGCTCGCTTGTTTCTGGGTTGGGTCCAGATTGCAGAAGCTCACGTGAACTCCAGAACCAGATCACAGGCGTCTCTCTCTCTCCTTTTCTTTAAGCGCTAAACTACGTTACGTGAACGAATATTAACGAGTGTGAGACAGCTGACAGACACTCATTAGTTTATTATCCTTGACAGCACTCAATCATTCAAAGCCCACATCAACAACATCATTCACTCAGCCTACTTTCATTTCTGCAACATCACCTGACTCCGCCCCTCTCTCACTCCTCATGCTACAGCCATCCTCACACACAGCCTAGTCACTTTTTGGACTGATTACGCTAACTCTCTCCGTTTTGGTCTCCCCCATAAAACCCTTCATCAGCTCCAACTTCTACAAAATGCTGCTGCACAGATAATCACTCGTACCCCCTCCAGAGATCACATCAGCCCTGTTCTTCAGCGTCTCCACTGGCTACCTACTGAACACAGAATCTCCTTCAAAATCCTGCGTCTCACCTACAAATGTATCCACTGTCTCGCCCCTCCTTACCTCTCTGACCTCATCCATGTTGCTGTCCCATCTTGCTCCCTCAGGTCTTCCTCTGCCATTCACCTTGTGGTTCCTCCTGCTCGTCTCACCACCGTTGGAAACAGCTTTCAGTCGCTCTGCTCCTCGGCTCTGGAACTCACTTCCTCCTGACATCCAAAACATAGACTCCCTCCTCTCATTCAAATCCAAACTCAAAACTCACATGTTCAAACTGGCTTACACTCTCTAGTCAACAAACTCTCCACTATGGAATTTATAGTATAGTTAAAATGATCGTATTCTTATTTATTTGTAAGTTTTATCATGTTTTGTGAGTTGACCTTGGGTTTTGAAAGGTGCCTATAAATTAAATGCATTATTATTATTATTATTATTATTATTATTATTATTATTATTAATGTTGTAATTATCATTATTATTATTATCATTATTATTTGTATTATTATTAGTATTATTATTATTGTCAAGTATTCATTTTATATTAACTGACCAATACTATTTTAACTGTCTGGTACATGATAGTAATCTGTACAATTTTGTGATGTTAGCACACAAGTTTAAGCTAGCATTGTTAACTCACCTGCTGCTCCCCCGCTGCACAATCTCTGCTTTAGCCGATCGTTTCTCCCTCTGGTTTGCCTCTGCTCTCTGGGTCGTGCAGCAAACTCATAACTTCATAGTTTTGGTCCATCATGAGTAGAATTACATTTAAAATGGCCTGTATTTGATATAGCGCCTTCTAGAGTCCTAGAACCCCCCAAGGCGCTTTACAACACAATCAGTCATTCACCCATTCATACACACATTCACACACTGGTGGGGATGAGCTACAATGTAGCCACAGCTGCCCTGGGGCGCACTGACAGAGGCGAGGCTGCCGAGCACTGGCGCCACCAGTCCCTCCGACCACCACCAGCAGGCAACGTGGGTTAAGTGTCTTGCCCAAGGACACAACGACAGCGACAGACTGAGCGGGACTCGAACCAGCAACCTTCCGATTACGGGGCGAGCACTTAACTCCTGTGCCACCGTTAAAGTTTCTTCTGTGTCAGAACCATCGACATAAATATACTGGACATCTCCTTTCCATAGGCTCCAATATCACATTTTTGAGGCTAAATGGGAGGTGGCCACCACCGCCATTTTGACCGTGTCACAGGTTCCGTCAAGCCCAGACAATTCCAAAAAAGGGAAGAGAGGAGGAGCTGAGGGTGGGGCTGTAAGGCTGGGATCGACTGACAACACCCGGTTGAACTAGCTACAAGCTAACCTGAAGCTAACCCTGGCTATAACCCAAAGCTAACGTGGAGGTGGGAGCTAAGCTAACGGAGGTAGCAACCTAGCTACAACCGGAGTTAACTGTGCACAACACGAGAGCTTCTGAGTCAGAGATACGCCGGGCTGACTGCTGGGTAAAACCGGGTGGAACACAGAGGTCTCCGAGACCTCCACAAGCCGG